ATGACCTTGGAGCTCTTTTCCAACCTACATGATTCTGTGAGTGTTGATATAGAAAAGATCACCTATTTCCCAGCCTTCTCTGCCACACAAAACAATATGCTACAACAAAGGAGTCCTGCATGGCAGTTTCTATAACCTGAATGATAGAAACTCCCCATCTACAATGTTGAGGCCGCATAACATAACCCTTTCGTTCCAAGACAGAAGTTGCCTTATTATAAATGTTTATTTGGTTGGTCTACTTCTTGCTTGTCTTAGTCAAAAATTGACATTTAACTAAATCCAGCTTTACTAATGGCCACCTCTCTTCATGCTTGTCTCTTTTAACAGATGCTCTGACCTTGGAAACCTTGTGCCTGAACGACTCTCCTGCACACAGCTGGGATAGGCCTTGCAGACAGAAATCTGACAGCAGCACTTTTGCAAGGTGTGTTCTGTGTCCACATCAGATGGGACATCAGTGGGGTGCACGTAACACAGTAGGATAACCTCTTTAGGGTGAAGGGAGGAAGAGTCCACAACAGGATCTAGCAGATTCCAGGGGAAATTTGTGCCCCCAGTATATGCTGATTTCAACAGCACAGCATCTCTTACAGGAAACTGGACTCTTGGTGGTCAGATAATGGTGTTAGAGGGCAACACTTCTATTCACAAATATAATATTAAAACTCTTTACTGGAACTGTTGACAATCAGCCAAATACAATGATGGTGTTTCCATTTCATGCTGGAGGACTGAGACATGATTTAGGCATTCTTGTTCATTTTCCATATTTAACTCACAATTGATGCTCCCATTAGGCATCAAAATCCTATTGGCTTTGAGGAGTTGTTTTTTTGCAGAGTTTAGAGCAAGAATTCTAAGGTTTTTGCTTATCAAGCTGCCTCCTTAGATCTTTAAAATAGAGATTGAACTGCTTGAGATTATGAAAGCAAGCTATTGCAGTGAATATTTTAAACGATAAGATGCTCCTGAAGATGCAGAGGTAGGCAGCCTGCAGCAAGAGGCTCAGCAGCTCCTGAAGCTTTTGCCACTGGTTTTCTGTAGAACTGTGCAGTGTGGAGGAGGTTGGGAAAAGGACTGGTGGTGGTTCTTGCTGCTCGGGGGAGGAGGGATTGATGTTAGTGATGAATTTCTTTCTCTGAGAGACCAGCTGACTGAGTGTACAGATAGCAGTGACTTCAGTTGTTATGTGCTTAAGGAAAATGGGCAATATATCTCACTGTTGTTTGGGCAATATGCAAATGAAGTGTGTGTTGCCAGGTGGAAAATATGCTCTGCTGGTGACTACACTGATGCAGACCTTCCTGTTTCCATTACAATGATGGACTCTTCACTTACTGAGGTGAGTGCTGTCTCTGATGCCCGAGATGTGATTTTTGAATGGGTTCAAGCATTTAGTGCCTTGCTCAGATCCATGTCTGGATCGATCTGCTATAAATCAGCACTGCTCCAAGGTGGATGGAGCTGCCATCAGGCAGCAGGGGGCTGTGTGAGGTAGTCCCTTCTGTTTGGACACACTTCTGGAATACTGTGGTTACAGATCTAGATGTCTTGATGTTCCTGTGCAACTGGGTCATGCTTTTAGCTGAGGAGTGTTTTAAATGTGGTGTGAAGGCTTGAGACAGTGTTGTTTTTGCAGTAATACTCTGTTCTGCCAGGGAAGTCTGAGTGCTTTCGCTCTTTTTATCCACCTGCAAGAAGCCACAGGATGCTTCAGTTGTGAATCCTGCCTTGCTTTGCACTTTCTCCCACGGCCACCATGTAACAGCTGAAAAATGCCATCTTTGCTGTGTGAAAGCTTTCCTTCAGCTGATGTACTCAGCTGTGCCTTCACTGTTGTCATGAATCCTGCATCTACAGCTTGAGCTGTCAGTCAGTTTTCTCATGGCAACAGCAAGACAAGCTGCAGCTCAGCACACCTAGTTGTGTTCTTGTTGCACAATACTCACTACAGAAATTACCTCAGCCCTGCCAAGCAGGATTTCTAGTGAGCTTTACAAACTCCAGGATTGGTGGCGATGATGGAAGAATACTGGTCAGTGGTTTCTGTGAACCTGGAAATAACCTGTGGGAGACTAAAGCAACCTCAGAGTTGACCCTGGCTGGTGTGTGGTAGCTCTGAGTGCAGCAGTGGTCTGGTTGGAGTGTCAAATTAGGGCAGAAAGTGCAGGGAGGGTATGAAGTACGAGTGGTGGGGACTACCTGTGGTTTCAACACACTGCTCACTTGGGATAGAGCAGGTGAGAAACTCCCAGTTTGTGCTGCTACTGTTTAAATGACCTTAAAGAGGATAATCTCAAGAATTCTTGCTTAATCCAATCCTTTTGGAAAGTCACAGCCTTGCAAAGTTGTTTGAAACACCTGTGCTCATTGCTCTGGAGCTTTCTGTAATTCCAGCTGGGCACAGAAATGTTGTTTTCTGGTTTTTTATATAAACTTTCCATGTGAATATTCTAGGGGTGGGGGAAAACAAAAATGTTTAATCTTCCCACAGAGAAAAGGCAAAGGGACTGAATCCAGTGTCTGTTCTAAAAAGTGGCATGCAGCTAAATTTCAATATCCTTGTTTGGTAGGAAGAGTCTCACTAGTTTTCTTTGGAGTTTTATTAGACTGTGGGTGCAGCTGTGTTTGGGCAGACTGAGCCCTTCAGCATGCAATGAAAAATTATTTTTGTCAAAGCATTGTCAGTGTTGGGGTTTAGGGGCTATTTAATAAAGGAGTCAAGTGAAGTTTGGGCTTTTCACAGTGGTTTTGATTTATAAATGTGGAAGTCGTATCACAGTCTAGAAATCAGATGACAGGCCCTTTCCAAAGGTTACTGCTTGTTTGGGAGAAGCTGTGCAAGATTATGGCCAGAATTTGTGTGCTGTGATAGACAATCCTTGGATCGTTATGCTAATTTAAGATATGGAGGGGGGGAAATCTTTGACACAATCCTTTTGCTAGGAAGAAGAAACATTCTCTAATGCCCTATGCAAACAGATTTGATTAGGAAATTTAAAATGTGGAGTTCCCTTTTTGGTTTTTCCTCTGTAAGTGTAATCCATGGGAGTTCACAATCCTAATAGTGAATATGGGACTTTTAAGACTAAATTGAGGATTTTCTGTCATTGTAGACAGAGAACACTGATCGTGTGATTAGCTGGGGAGGGAGAGCATGTCAAATAACAAATTGCTTTAGTCAGTTCCAGGTAACACATGGAGTTTTCTGTTTGAGTGCTGTGTCAGTTTTAAAAGCCCTTTAACTTTCTCTCATTTTCTTTCCAACATGTTATTCTTCTCCACCTTCTCCTTCCCCAGCACTCCTGTAGACCTAACAAAGCCTGAACAAGGCAAATGTGGTTCTCTACTTCCTTGAGCTTAATAGAGAATTCAAATTGTAATAAAAATAGCCTGAATTTGCATTAGAGGAAGCATCTGGCCTGGGGTAAGGGCAGCACAGCTCTGATGGGTGAGGGAGAGGGGAGGAGGGAAAAGGCCCTTGCTGATACCAGGAGCAGTCAGTTGCTCTCAGATGTGATGAGGGGCTTTGGACACCTCCTGTTCTACTTTGCTGGGTGTCTTGGGTCCTCTGAGGGTGTCTGAGGGAGGAGGGAAAATTCCAGAACACAGGTAATCACTCGCTGATGTGTTCTTTTTCTGCTGCTTCCTCACACATGCTTAAGTAGTGCTCTTGGACACGTGGATATGTAGGGAGCTCCTAGCCTCGTTCCTTCTCTGCTTGGAGAGAAGTTTTGGGTTGTGGGGGCTTTTTTATATTCAGCAGTGCATGCAGTTCCATAACAAATGATTTACCAACTTCACCCTTTAAACCTCCATTTCACCCTGTATTTTCATCCATAGAGACCAGGCTAATAATTGAATAAGCAAGCTGGAGCCATCCAGGATGAAATGAGGAAGAGAGATAGTACCCATATGGTACCTCCCCTGACACATTAAATGACTGAAGAGGACATTGGTTTTGTCTGTGATGTGATAAGACCTGGGTCCAGAACCACAGTGGCAGCTAAAGGAACACAAGCAAAGCTGTGTCACAGCCTTTAACTGCTTTGTTCCTCTCTGTTGTTTGCATGCCAAGGAGACCTGAGGCTCTCTGAAGTGCCTGGGGATTTGTTATATATCCTAGTAAAAACTGGGGTCATTCAAAGACAGACACTAAAATGTACAACACAACATGCAACTTCTGTGTTCTGAATCATCTGCTTGGTCAAGTTGTTACTATTAATGCTTTTATTTATCTAAATGAGTCTGATGGCTATAGCCAAGTGAATCTCTGCACCTCACCTGTAGAGTTTGAGGTCAAAACCTTGAAAATTGATTTATCTTGATGCACAGCATTAAGATAAACAGTGATGCTGCAACATGTATGTTGGCCATTTGAACATGTGTGTTAGGGGCAAGCCATGACATCAGGAACCAAAACACACCTCTAAGTATGATATTCCCAAGATAAGACTACTGCAAACATGTAGTGATCACTCCTAATGATGATAACATGCTAAGCTACACTCTGGGTGGCTTTAGACTGAGCAGGTGTATCTGTGTGCACTTACCATCTAGTTCTTCACTGCTGAAATAATTAAGGCACAGTGTGGAAATTATTGAACTTTGACATACAAACTTTTGACCAGCATGGCAACCCTGTCCCTGATACCAACTCTTCTCTCTTTCCATGAAGGTTGACTGTGCGGAGCCAACACTAGCAGCCAGTCTCATCCCACCCAGGTCAGGTCTTGTGAAAGATTTAAAAGCCTTCATCAATATTGTATAATGTGGATGAGTATCTGAAAGAGTTTTGTTTTGGCAGTGATCACTTAACTTCAGCCCAAGAAGTTCTTACATCCTCTGAGGAAAGCACAGAACCAGTAAGAGGTAAGTCCTTACTTTGGGGCACAGAGGAGTGAACATTTGGCACTGAGTCTTAGAAATAGATGTGTTTAAGTCTGATTTTTTACTGAGCAAGTAAGAGCTGTGTCTTCTGCTATCTGGTATTGCAGCCTGCCTTGATATGGAGCAAAAATCACCCAAGGGCTCATGTGAGGAAGAGGAAGATGTGCCAACTTCCGTAGCAACGGAGAAAAACAGTGACAAGGATCTGGTTGGGTCTGTATCAGGTACAGTAACCACTGCAGAGCTCTGGCAGGAGCACCCAGGGAGGAAATGATTTACTCATCTTTGAAGTAAGGAAGCTGAGTAAAAATAATAAGTAGTGAATTTCTATTTTGGTCAATATTTTTCACCTGTAAATGCTCTCAGCCCTCCCTGACACTGAGTAGGTATAAGGCTTTACCTACTCACAGGAGTGCAGTAGCCTATGTGAGAAGTAAACATGAGAACTCAGTGAAATCTTGATGCTTGCTCAGCTGGCAAGACATTGAGTGGGTACAAACCCCAGGCAATTCTGGGAGTAGAGAGAATATTTTCATAGTTCTGAAAGTTTAATGGTGCTTCTAGGATAAATAACACTCTCCATCCTTCAAAACTGTTGCTCAGTGCACAGGTTGTTGGGATGGGTCAAGAGGAGAGATGAGGATAGAGGACTTTGTGCATGGCTCTATCTTTTGCTATAGCCATAAACACCCAGAAGGATTATTCTTACCACATCTGATGGTCCTTCTTCCACTTAAGAACTATAAAAGCAAACTAGAACTGAAGTGCGTGTACATGGTGTATTTGAGCTCACTTCATAAATCTGGTCTGAATAAGCAGCACAGTGCACCTGTACATGCTTGTTTGTAACCATTTCTTAATCTTTACTTAAATATAAGAGCATTTTTTTCTTTCTTTCCTCAGTACTATCTTCCTGAAACCTAACTCAGTCCCCTCACTTAACCAGTTTTCTTTCTACTCATTTGCCTCTACTGTTAATTTTCATATGTGGTCCAGGTGCTTTTGGCAACGAGGAAATATATGCAGAACATATCAGAAGTCCCAATAGCTTTAAAGTCTGATAATTCAGCTGCCTGTTCCGTATTTCTGAAAAGAAAGAGTTTCTAGTGTTAGAATGATAAATCTCCCCTTCTGGATTTGCTAGTACCATACAATGCCTTCTAAAGGGGCTGGGAATTCTGGCCAGCTCTGTAGGGCTGCTGCAAAAAGTGGCAGGAACCAAAGGGAGTGCTGAGCAGAGGTGGCTGCTCATGTGAAGGATGGAGAGAGAAAGGACTTCCAACATAAAGTTGGGGTTTTCATTGCTTTTGCTTTTCCTTTGTTTTTCACTGTGCCATTTCTTTGGCTTGCATCTGTGTAGGTGTGTGTGACAACATAAACATGAAAGAACAAAAAGCTCTAGGAGGTGGTAAAGGTATAAATAGCTGTCAGAGTTACTGCCACACAAGAAACTGAGACTCTAAGACTTTCTTTACTTTCTTAAATGCTTTTGGTTTCAAATCTCTACAATGACTGTCTTCCTGAAGAAACTTTTTGCCTGCTTTAAAGCTTATCTAAATTGTGGCACTTGAAAGTTTGTGTTGCATTTGAACTGTCAGCAGTTTCTGAATTTACCAGTTCATCACCACTCAACCTACGGGGGGGAAAAAAAAGAGTTATGTGCTGGCTGTGTCAGCAACTCTGCTATCAACTCTTTTGGGTGCAAAGGACAGCACAAGTGGCAGAAAATGTTGAGAGCTTATGAACACCTGAAATGCCACAACTGTATGCAAACAAGGATTTTATTACTTGGTTGTGCTCAAGCTCCTCAATAACAGCAGCTGAACTAGCATCTACACTTCATCTGATATTCCATAACACGAAGGAAGAGAATTACTTGACCTGTTAATTTATGCATGGGGCTTTATGTATTTCTGTAATAATAATAATAATCAAATTCTTGTATCCAGGGGAATATTACTGTAACTCTTGCAACTCCAGCTACAGCAAGTGCAACCAGGAGTAATATTCTCAACTGTAGACATATATAACACTTCTTACTGGGATTTTTACCAAGCCAAACATAATTCTTATCATACTTCTTCCTGTATATCTTTCTGGTGTTCTTTGCTGCTGCTTCCCCTTGATGACCTTTCCTGGCATTTGCTGTGGTTTCTTTTAGCCCCGTTGACCCATGGCTAGTACAGTGGGTGCTGGAAGCTTGGTGAGTGTTTTTAATAATTACATGTGGTTTTGGGAATATTTCTCCCCAGGTGAAAATCAGATCAAGAATGAATCCTCCCCTGTGATGGACAGTGTTTCAAAGCAAGACCCGGTAAGAGACCTGGTGACTACTTTGGCTGAGCAGTGACAAGGGAGGGGACAGGCCCCTCCAGGGGTGTAGTTGGCTGCTCCCTTGCTATAACTACTCTGTCTTTAGGAGGTTGAACAGGAAAAGAAAATTAACGAAGAGCAGAGTGAGGAGGCTCCAGCTGTGGTTCCTGTTAGGAAAGGTAAGAGCTTTTTGCTGAACATGTTACTCACTGGAGCACAAGTCTCTGTCACCTGGCCCAAGAGCTGTGTAGAGAGGTACAGAGAGCTTTTGCCCCACACCAAATATTACGAGGAGGTTTTGTTTTAAGGTGTAGTAGTTGCAGTTAAAGTTCATAATGGCTTAGCAATGGGGAGAAGGAAAGTGGTGTCATACAAAATCAGCTTTTCTGATTTCCATGGATACTGATCTAACCAGCTCCATGTTCCTCTAGACAGTAGGGAAAAATTCTTAGGTGCTATAAATGAGTTGGGACATTCAAAACACTTTTGGCATGTCTGGTCTCCCCAAAGACTTGTACAGCAGCAGTTCTGTGCTAGCCAGAGCTTGGGGTAATTTGATACAGAGAAGCAGGATGATGTTTCTACTTAACTGTCACCTCATCTTTTGCCTTTGGAGCTCACTGAGAGCTGGTGATGTAGTAAGTCATGTAACATCCTGAACCTTTGGGCTGGGAGTGTAATCTAAGCCTTGTAATTAATAATTTCTGTGTTAATTAGATGCCACTCAAACAGCTAACTTTTGGGGCTTTGTACAAGAGACAGTGCTGTGGTGTCTCACTGATGCTCTAACCCTGTTGTACTCTGAGGCTCACAGGTTGTTTTTACTGGCAAAAGCTTAACTAACACTGGAAATCTTTAACAGTGGCTTCTATTGAAGCTTAAAAACCTTTCACGGGTTGATTTTGGGAGGCTGTTTTTTCATTTTTGTCTGAGAACTTATTTTGTTTTTTTCCTCTTGTCAGGGAGTTCACCCACTGCAGGTGGCATTAAAGGAGATAAAGCAAAGTCAAATGAGCCGTAAGTATTTTGACTCTCAATGATCACCTGCAGGTATGAATTTAAAGCTGCAACCTGTTACATGATTGCTTCTTCTTATCCTACAGTGACTCCCCTAATGAGAAGGAGGTGGAGGTAAGTCTGGACTGCTTGTATCCCTAAGTATCTCAGACAACAAAGACCTTGTAGATAGGCCCTAATTAGTATTTTGTTCTACATAAAAGAATGATGCTGAGTAGCTTAAACTGGATGTATTTCCATATGTTAGCTTATAAAAATCTGTCTTTCCAAGCCTAATGGACATTTTGGAAGGGATGGGATTGGAAAAGGTGGATATCTGTAAAACTGAACAAAAGACTTATTGTTACTGTAACATTTGTTTGCAAGCTTGAAGGACCAGAGCTGTGACCTGTTCCCAGGCAGAATGTGCTGATTTAAGACAGTTTTGTCAAAAGACCCAGATGGCACACACTGTGTGCTGCCAGGATGCCACCTCTTCTGGCTGCAGGATATTCCCACCACCACTACAGATGGGAAGATTGGCTTTGGGGAACTGGGACACATTGACTTTGTCTTCTGCATCTCTTCTATTGCTTTCTTCTTGGGGTATAGTCCCAAATGCCATGTCAGTGTCCAAATCTATTAAAAATCTTCTGCGTCACTTGGATTATTCTGAAGTCTTTTTCCTCTCCCACAACAGGCTGAATTTCTGAGGTTGTCTTTAGGTTTTAAATGTGACTTGTTTACCTTGGACAAGAGAGTGAGGCTCGAAGAAAGGTCTCGAGATTTGGCTGAAGAAAACTTGAAAAAGGAGATCATGAATGCTGTAAAGATGTTAGAGGTTAGTATTGGCCAAGGCTGGTAGGGTGGAAGGGATGAACAATTGTAAAAGTGTCTCACTTAATTCAGCTCTTGCAAGTGTGTGATACATTATAAGCAAATCCGAATGAAGTTTTGAAAGTGATGCAGTTGAGATATGGGAGACTGAGGGGCAACCTTCATCTGAGTACATTGTGTGTACTCAGGGAAATTTTCCTACTCACCCAACATTTGACCTGAGCCCCTGTCTTTAGCTGATTTTTATGCTGAAGTCTCTGCCTGCTGGAGGTCTGTATCCAAGTTAAACTGAGGATGTTGGATGCTGAGCTTCTGGCTGTGTGGGCCCAAACACAACTCCTTAGTGTCATCAACTGGGTTCACTCTTCATTCTCTCCTAATAATTGTCACTGGTTTTCTTACCAATGTGCCTCTTAGGCTTTAGTTCCTTTGTGTGAAGAAGACAACCAAGCACAGGAGATCATTAAGAAGCTGCAGAAAAGCTTGCAGTTCCTTAGCCAGTATGCAGCCCGAGTTGCCAGCAGAGCAGAGATGTTGGGAGCTATTAATCAGGTAACTCTTTCCGTGTAGAAGTACTTTGTGCAAAGTTAAAAGATGTAAACCTCTGTCTGCTTGCTGGGCTTCTGGTTCCAGAACTAGATTTGAGAATCTTGTGTATGTAATGTAGACTGAGATAAGTCTTGGCTATTTATTTCTTCTCAGATCACTGTGTGTGTTGCTATCAGGAATCCCAGGCACTGAGAGCAGCTATGTTGCACTAGCATTGTGCAAAACCCCACAACAGTAGTTGTAGTAGTAGTCTTGATGCTCTAATGATGATTCTGTGTCTTATGGAAAGGGCAGCTGGTAAGATAAATGTATGGAAAATTACAAAGACCTGCTGAAATGTGAGGTGTCATTGTGTGTAATGCCACATGAAAATGTGACTTGGCAATACTAGTGAATGCGTGGTGGCAGCTGAGAGTGTAGATCAGAGAGAAAGATGAGGAGGAGTTGTAGGGGCTTTGAAAATTGAAGACTTGTTTATTTTAGGATAAGAATAATCACTGGAGAAATGAAACCTGTGTAACTTGGGCATGTTTCACTACAACATGGGTTGTAGCAAATCTTTGAGAGGGTGGACAAAACTTGGAGGATGTTGCATCATGGTGGTACAAGATGAGAGCAGATGCTTAAGAGGGAAATGTCAAAACATGATGTGGTTCCTCAGAGTTGCTTCTTCTTCCTACTGCTGTTGCCCTCTCTGTGTTAGGAGAGCAGGGTCAGCAAGGCCGTGGAAGTAATGATTCAACATGTGGAAAATCTGAAGCGCATGTATGCCAAAGAACATGCAGAACTCGAGGAGCTGAAACAGGTCCTGCTCCAGAATGAGAGATCTTTTAGTTCCCTTGGAGACAGAGGTAACTAGGAAAAGCCACTTTGTCTTTCTTCTTCCTAGCACCTGCCAGATAGATCCTTGTAGGTGAAACACAGTCATATAATCCCTCCCTCTCTGGCAGTGTTCAGGGCCAGGTTGGATAAAGCCTTGAGCAGCCTGGTCTGGTGGGAGCTGTTCCTGGCCAGGGCAGGGGGGGTTGGGGATAAATGATGTCTAAGGTCCATTCCAACCCCTTAACGCAGTATGATAGTTGCATGATCTTAGGTAGAGGGATTATATGATTGCTGTACTTCCTTTTCTAGAAATGGGG